ATGCATGCGTAGTTTCGTTTCGATTTAGCGAAAGAGGCCAAAAATTCTCGTTGAGGGCGAAAGTGTCGAGCGTGTGTCATAGGAGATCCTTAGAGATAAATCTTAACGTACATAACATAAACAACACACAACTGCCTAGAAACTCAGATTAATAATATTATAACTTACTATATTATATACAATTACAACCGACATGTCCAAACGCACAAAGGGCAAGTTTGGCAAGACGAGACACGCGCATGTAAATAGGATATATCGACGTGTAATCCATATGTATATAACAGGGGAGGTGTGCAGTTTCGGAACCGAGACTCGGTAGGGGTAAGATACTGGGACAAGTTCATTGTCTGATCGTGGCTTTTTCAATTTATTCCTCGAGAATCTGAACACGTTTCTGAACATTCGCGGACGATGAGTGAAAAGATAAATGGACAAAGGTGTTGATTCTAACGTCTTTCTTTTGTGTCTGAGGAATTTGATGGGTCTACTAATTAATTCTGTGAAAGAGTTATGGAAAATCAGCGTTGCAAATATTAATAACCTTATTATGTATATTTGGCACAGTATTTCGTGGCAATAAATTACAGTAAACCGAAACAGATTACGTGTCGCTATCAATGTCTCCGAACTTGCGCGCTGAATTCAATAATTAGCGAACCGAAGGGCAAACAATCATGGCCGCAAGAAATGTCGTTTGTTGGAACTCGGCATCAATTATCGGCCTTGCTGTGCTTAAAGTTATTACTTTGGTGGATTTAGGATTGTCGAGAAACGGGCTATAAATAACGATGGGTATTATCGAGCATTCAGAAGCGATTTTTATTAAAAAGATGACGAAGAAACCCTTGTCCTTTGGAATTAATTAACGAAGGATTGATTGCTCGTTGCTGGGATACTGTGCCGCATCGAATCGAGATTTCAGCAGTTTTTTATTGTATTTCGTAGAGAAGTAATAAGGAAGGAATTCTGTTGAATGTTTGATTCGTTGTTTGATACCGATGAAATGAGAAATAATTAAAATTGTATAGTCGGAGAACGGAGGGTAATAAAAATTGAAATCTCGTGTTAAGGAGCTGAATATTTTAATAATCTTTTGACGGAAAATTTTATGAGAGGATAATTGAGAATTATGGTTAGTTATTGATGTGGGAGAAAAATATTGAAGACTTATTTTTCTATATTTAATATATATTTAATGGTTAACATATGTAATTTCAATATTTAATTCGTTTTAATCAATGTACCAATGGGGCATATTTCTTATTCGAATCACACTCTGTTCAATCGTGGCAAATCCGATTCTCGTTTCTTTTAATTTGCATATTAACCTATAAAATACCTCATACCAACTTCACTCACTCAGTACTTTTACCAACCTCATTCATATAACACTCTTACCAACCCATTATGCTGCAAAAAAAACCTAACAATTAAAGTGGATTCAAAGATTTGAATAGTGTTGAGTACAGGAATGCTCGGATATTTTCATTTAGTTATAGTTACCTATGTTTATTAATTTTGTTGTGATTTTGGTATTACATACAATGATTTGAGTTATGAGACGCTTGTGAAGGATATGGAGGAATGAGAGGCATTTAAATTTTAATTGTTAATGGTTAATTGTTGATTGATGGACTGGTTGGCGATCTTTTTGCGTGCACGGGGGCGCTTTATACGAATATGGGGCCGTCAAGCCCTGGCTAGGGGGGGCGTTTAAAACGTCCCTCTGAGGCCTCCATTAAACCCCGTTAGGGAGATGCAAAGCATCTCTTGTTGTGAGCGTCCACGGACGGAAATTACTTCGGTAATTTTCCGAGACGTTCAGGCTAACCCAAGAGCAAAGTCACCAGGTTTTCGAATCGGTATTGTCCGGAGTGGGGGAAGGACCACGTGACTCGACGAGGTCCGAACCGCGACGGATTAAGACCCGTTATCACTCTTTCGATAGCCGCCGCTCGATTTGGTCGTAGATCGTTCCGTCCTTAGCGTCTCGTATCCGTTGTATACAAAGCAATACGAATTTAATTTCTTTCTTCGATTTTCACAATTATTATTTCTGAAATATTGCGTTCCTTATTTGACAATTATTGATTATTCCATAATTATTGCATATTATTAAATATTTGACCATTATTGTATCATTACTTAATTGTTGTATTATTGCAAATACGTATTGTGATCCTTTATAGTATATATCGTCAATTATTATTGTAAATTATTGTTTTTCGCCAGTGTATTACGAGTTGTACAATTTCGTTTTCGTTAATAAATAATTAGTTAATCCCGAATCGTCTGTTATTTTTCCTTACGTATTCAACAAATAGTAATAAAAATTGAAAGGTATTTAACTCCTTAACCTATGATTTTTCTGACAGTAGCGTCAGGTAGAAATAATTAATCACTGTTGCAATGTTGAAATAAAAAGACTTAAAATATTAGATATATTGTGAGTTGAGCGATCTTTAATTGTACAAATTCTAAGTGGTGGACTTAAAACTCAATTGGAAAGCAAATATAATTTATTTTTGTTAAATTTGAACCTTAGTGTGCGTCATACCTCTTAATGTCATAAGCCAATGGGTTAAGAGTTAAACAATACTCTTTTTCCATAAAATTGAACATGAAAATATAACAATCGAATTACTAAACTAGAAGAATTATTTTCGAATATTTGTATTTAATTTTTAATTTATATTTGACCGTTTGAATAATTTTCTATTCTGATTTGGATTTATGAAAAGATTGTGTTAGTTTATTTGACGTGTCATCAACGCCATCATTGATTTTATGGAACTGTTTCAATTTGAATATGATTACGCTGACCCAGATGAACGTTTACATACGTATGTACATATGTCCGGCTGTGGTTAAATATTTTTCGTTAATATTCAGTATTAATTAAAGTATCACTGTTTGGTTTCGGGTGTTGTTCAGATCAAGCCAGTTTTTGGTCGTGGTAGACTGGTTTATTGGGGTGCTTTGAATAAATTATACGAATTATAGTATTCCTGGGAAATAATAGTTATTTAATGACGGATTGGGTAGCTGAGGTATTTTATTAATTTATTATTTTATGCTGTTATTGTACTATTTCAATATTTTATTACTTTACCATTTTCTCATTTCACCGTTTTACCATTTCATTATTTTATCATTTCGATATTTTGTTGTTTTATTATTTGTAATTTTGTTATTTTGATGTTTCACTATTTTTTATTTTACTGTTTTAATATTTCACCACTTTGTCATTTTATTATTACTCTACTTTACTATTTTATTATTTCAACGCTTTACTATATTATTATTTGATATTTTATTATTTTAATATTCCACTATTTTATAGTGTTATTTTACTTTTTTACTACTTCACCAGTTTGTCACTTTACTATTGCTGCACTTTACTTTTTTATTATTATATCATTTTACCATTTTTTCATTTTATCATTTTACCATTTTACTGTTTCATTTTTTCTACACTTCACTAACTTATTATTTGTCATTTTATTATTTTAATATTTCATCATTCTGTTAAGTAATTTTATTCTCTTACTATTTCATCAATTTTATCAGTGTACTATTCCTCTACAATTTTATTATTACATCATTTTACCATTTTATCATTTTATCATTGTATCATTTGTCTACTTTACCACTTTACATTTCGTCATTTTATTATTCTAACAATTTTACAATTTTCTTATCATTCTCTTATACAGCCCATTTTAAACCTATACACCAAGAAAGTCCCAAAAAACTCTAAAAAAATCGACTCATAATTTCCCCCAAAATCACAAATTAATTAATCTGACAATACCACGAAAGTCCCCCGTTCTATCATTTCCGAATTAAACAGAATTCGGCTTTATCATGACAGCATTGGTAAAACCGAAAAGCACAAAGAGGTTGGCGCAACACACCCCTCATTAATAGTTTAATCAACGCGATACCGTATCGCGGTTCCATTAATCTCTCCGTGGACCAAAGGAAACCGCTGAACGTCATTCGTTCGCCTGATCCAACAAATTTCGTTCTTTTTTTTTCTCTTCCTTCGTTTCTTTTATTAGGGAACGTTCCAATAACGTCGGATTCGTTGAAACGGAACGGCCACTTTCTTTCACGAACGTTATCGCTCTATCGCTTTTCTACGCGGCTTTCTAGGCTTCGTTGTACATACGTTGGCCAGGCTTTCGCGAATCAATGTGAAAAGGATACGTACCAGCCGGTGCTTGGAAACACCTTTCACATCGGATTGATCGAACAGATCTGTAGCAGAATGTGTTCTGCATGTTACACGTCGGTACGAGCGAGAAACTACGGACTGTTCACGGTCTTCGTTACGTTTGTACTACCACGGTTTACCGAGACCATCTGAATGCACTTTGAAACCAAACCAAGGAAATGGTGTCGATTCGGTGATAATGCGATACCGATTGCCACTATTCGACACGAACAACATGACGATTCTGAGATTCATTGCTCTTCCGTGGATCTTCGCTTACAAAGCACCTGTAGTTCCTACACTTTGTCTTTCTTTATTTTTTTGACTGTTAATTCTATCTAGGAAATTTGATGAAATATTTACTTGCTATCTAGAAAATTTGCAGAAATATTTATTTGCTGAAATGTTTACTATTTGTTTATTATGGCAGAAAATGTAAATAAATATTTTGCAAATGAATTATTTAATGAAATATGCTAAAATGTCTTTTGTACCTTTCTCTATTTTGTGGAAGAAAATATAAAAAGATAGACTCAGAAGAAATTACTTAAGAGAAAGTATGATGAGATATGTTTGGGACTTACTACAAGAAAATTATAAATAAATACGTTTAAATGTCCTCCATTTCTTTTAAAGAATTTTTAAGAAATAATATTGTACTGTACTCTATTCATACTACTTTGCATTATTTCTTAAACAATATTTGAATATTTATGTAAATATAAGTTAAACATTATTTGATTATGTTAAGACAATGTCCTAATATATTTGATGTTTTCAGGAGGTCCAGACTTTTGTTGAAGAAGGGATCTTGACCATAATCCTCATCTGTTAGTAGGATAAGAAAAGGTCTGAAGATTAATCATTCTTATCACAGGTAAAAATGATATGTGTAATACAAATTCACATTGTGGCTTATAAGTAAAAGAAAATTGAAGTAATATGTCCATATGAAGCACTAAAATAATATCTCAATAAATCTGTTTTCAGGAGATTCGGAATTCTGCTGAAAAAAGCTTGAACGTAATCCTCATTGGTTTTAAGGACAAGATAGGGTCTGAAGATTAATCATCCTCATCACAGGTAAATATAATACTTTATATAATACAAATTGACATTGTATTCTGTGAATCAAACAGAATATAATTAATATGCTCATATATAACTCTAAAATGATTTCTGAATGTATCTGTTTGTAGGAGATTAAGAATTGTGCCAAAAAAAGGAAGGTTGAACATAATTGTCATTGCTTGGAGGTATGAGAAAAAGTCTGAAGATTAATCATTCTTATCACAGGTAAAAGTAATACAAACAAAATTGTACTAATATTTCCATACAAAGGATTATAATAATATCTGAATATATCTGTTTTCAGGAGTTTCAGAATTCTGCTAAATTAAGAAAGCTTGAACATAATCCTCAATGGTTGGATGAATGAAAAAAAGTCTGAAGATTAATCATTCTTATCACAAGTAAAAATGATACTGTATGTAACATACAAATTCATATTGTATTCTGTGAGCCAAACAAAACTCTACGAATATACCCATATAAAGCACTAAAATAATATTTGGATGTATCTGTTTTCAGAAGATTCAGAACTCCATTGAAAACAGAAGCTTGGAAGTAATCTTCATCAATTCCAGTGCTAAGAAGGGGTCCAAAGATTAATCATTCTTGTCACACATAAAAATATTATTACATATACTACAAATTCACATTGTATTCTGTGAGTCAATCAAAATTGTACTAACATGCCCGTATAAAGTTCTAAAATAACACCTCGATATATCTGTTTTCAGGAGATTCAGAATTCTGCTAAGAAAAAGGAAGCTTAAACAAAATCCTCATGGGTTGCAGAACTGAGAAGAAGCCTGAAAATTAATCATTCTTATCACATGTAAAACTTACACCATACAATACAAATTCACACTGTATTCCATGAGTGAAACAAAATATAACTAATATGCTTATATAAAGCTCTAAACTAATATCTGGATATACCTGTTTCCAGGAAATCCAGAACTCCGCTGGAGAAAGAAGCTTGAACATAATCCTCGTCAGTTCGAAGGATAAGAAGAGCTCGGAAAATTAATCATTCTTATCGTAGGTGAAAAAGCTGGAACATCGGCATCGCATCGCATCGCATCGTTGTGCTAACCATGGAGGAAGATAAAGCTCCCGGTCGATTGTTCCTTTAAACCCTCTAATTCCGATGCACGTTCTCCACGTACTCGTTGTGTAAGCTCAATTGCCTCGCTGGCAATCGTTTGCGAGCCCTTTCTTGTCAATGGGCCGAGGAGAATCACCGGTGTAGGTGGAAAAGGTGGCAAACCGGTTGATAGCTCTTCAGCGAGGCAACTTGCATGAACGATTCTCTTCATCTCGTTACCTTCGTCAACGACCGGCAGACCCGAGATTCGCCTACTCGAATATCTACGTGACTTCTTGCCTCGGCACTTGCGAACGTTTCATTAACCGACAAAAATTATTATACATTTTGAACGAAATGACCAGGCTCCTGAGCTCCGGAAATTTAGTTACGTGTCGGTTACACACTTCTGCTAGTAAATTTTTTTGTTACGTAATTAGTTACTTGGAAAATTATTTAAAATTCAAGAAGGTTGTAAGTATTGTGTATAGAAAACTGTATCAGTGAGGCGGAAATTTGAGTATTCAAGTAATTCTAATGAATTCCAATTGAGATTTGATATTTAATTATTTTTTTAACATTGACAAGGATTTAAATTATTTAGATTATTTGTATACTTTCAGTTAGTAGTTGCATTGTTTGAATTACTTGAATTATTTTTATTGTATTACATGTTTTAAGTTAGTTAAATTATGTGAATTATTTGTATATTTTCAATTAGCTGTATATTCTAACTATTTGTTTATTTGGATTATTTAAAATATGAAATTTTGAGAACTTGACAAATATAAACTTAGAATGTTACAAGTTTAGCAATTTGAACATATAGGAAGTTAATAATATAAAAATTTGAAAGTGTGAGAGTTCAAAAACATGGTCATTCTCTAATCCGAAATTGCAAGAACTGCAAAACACAGAAATACTAAAATGTATGCATCATCCACAAGAAGTCTACGTTGCGCTCTAGTAAATGTAACGCTGTAACTCGCAGTTTTATCAGTGGGTTTAATTACCGGCCGTATATTATCGCAGTTTAGGAAGCTTATGTTTTCTAATGGAAATGTAAAGTGCATTTAGCAAGGAGTACACAAGGAATTTGGGTAATTCTTGTTGTCAAGTAGCGCGGTTTCTCTTCGTGGACTAAGAAATCGTGGTTTAAGATCCATCCTGTAGCTTCCCACAGTCTGAACGCGAATGATATCGATTTTCCTGGATGCTCTAACCCACGCTACGGTGTAAACGGGCCATTACCCTTGGTACATCTTCCTTAATCTTCGGTCTGTGTATGTAATAATGGCCCGGTGACTGGCACAGTTTCCCCCTTGGCACGGGATTTTTCCTTTTCGTTGATTAATTGCCACACAGCTACGCTGTAATTGGCACGTTTTAATGGAAACACCGATGGAGTAACGACGACGATACGGTTTTTGTTCTCTGTTGCATTCTGAACAAGGAATTTTTATTGCTTCGCTACGGTATCGTCGATTCAAAGGATATAGTGTGATCGTGAATTTATGCGAGTGTTTTGGAACTTTGTAACTTCGAGATTTAGAAATTTTTGTGTTTTTTAATTTTTGGTATTGAAATGTTCAGACTGTGGGAATTTGCAATTTTAGAATTTAAGAGTGAACTTCAAATTTTTGATATTTTGAAACCTTGAATTTTGAAGAAATACAATTAATTGTACAAATTGATTACTAATGTAGAGATATGGTTAATTATACTTACTACTTGCATACAAATGTGCAATTACAGTTAAGTACATATTGTAAATACTACTGTACAAATATGATTAGTTATATTTACTACTTGCACACATATAGAAATGTCCAAATACTAAATATTAATGTGCAAATATAACTAATTATGTTTACTGCTCGTGTGTAAATATGTAAATGCTATAATACTCTCCAAATAAGTAGTGAAATAGAAAAGGAATTGAAATCAAACGATGTGGAAAAATCCATATTTGATGTATCACAGTTAAGAGTACCTTTAAGTTATTCTGCTCTCGGAATCGCGTAGAGCAAGAAATTTGATCGATCAGTTATCGATAACGATACGTTGTGAAGAATTAAAAATTAGTCTTGCAGCAAGTATTGCAATTGATCAAATTTTCTACTCTTAATAATACGTCCTAAAGAAACTCTCTTTATGTTTTATTAAAATCTAAACAAACTTTATACTGTTATATTATTGTATTTACTTTACTTATAACTTAAGGCACAATCATTCCAATATACATGTCTAACAATAGCAGCAGAGATAGATATTGTTTGAATACAATATTATCTAATCAGTGTATAATCCTCATATAATGTCAAATTAAAAACATAGTAGTAAAGTAAATGAACAAATGATAAAATATAATTGTACATAGACATTAATTCTGTCTCACACTAATTCTGTAATATCTTAAACTTTGTAGACATCTTAAATTTTATAATCTGAAATGAAATATTTATGAACTGATTGTTTGACAGGCTCTGATATGTTTATTTTTAATTAAGAAATATTATTCAGAAGTATCAGAAAGAATTTCTGTAAACAAAAATTATGTTGAAGGCGAGGAGATCCGTGGACGAATAAAGTGTCGTAATTAATTATGTACAAAACAGAAAAACTATTTATTCAAGAACGATATAAAATATAATCAGAATTACGTGAGAGGAATATAAAGAGAACAAAATTGAATCGAAACATGCGAATACAAGAAGGAACAAACAATGATGATTAACATCGCTAGATGGAGACAAATGTTAATGCTAATTCGTGTATCGCTCTTATATTACTTTTATCTCCAATAAATTAGTAGTAACTCATTCTAACAAATTTTTATTGGAGCACATAGATTATTTATTGTAGAACTCGCGAATGAAATATTATTAGTTATCATAAATATGCCTGACTCAAGATGGAAGAAGCCAGGTTGCACGATGAATTCGCAGTAGTTGCGTGCATGTTAAGTCGGACACGTAATATTCCTCGGTGGAACGATTTAACCGGAAGTTACGGTACAATCGAGTGGATATGCACCGGAAGGTCCTGAGTTATTACAGAACCATTTCAGGCCAAGCTTCTCACGTCTACGTCGTTTGAAAATTTCGTGCAAATTATGGAAAAGATAAATGTAATATCGGTTATTTGAGAGCGTATAACTTCGTTGCTTACTATAAGTACCGATACAATTTTTCAATATGAAATTATTCTTACATATTAAAAAATCCGACGTTGTAATTATTTGTAAAAATTATGTATCTGTATTAGGATCTTTTAGTGTACATTTGTTTCGAAATTTTGTAAATGTTTATGTGCAATTGTGGGCAGATGAATATGTTAATTTAGTTGTTGGAAATTGAAGAGTATTTTTGGATGTAAATATTTGAAAGTTTGGAAGTTTATGAATCAGAAAATTGTTCTATAAATATAAAAATTGACCACTGTTTCCCAAAATCTAATATTAATTTTTGGAAATAAAAATATTCTAAGTTAATGTGAATATACAATATAAAAATAAACTTCTAAACATACTTTTCAATGCAATCAAGTGAATTCAGTACTTAAAGATGTCGAGGAAATTCCTATCGCAATTAGAATAAGAAATTGTCGAAATTGAGGGAATCATAGTGCCTCGATCTGGAAAGCGACGACTGGTCGTTTAATGGGATGCTTAAAATATCTCGTCTTTAATTCACTGCTGAACCCACCAAGATAACTCAACGAGATTTGGGAGACGGCTGACTTGAAGCGTTAAAGTTTCATCGAATTAAACTTTCCCCCGTTAAAGTTGCTGCATAGACGATGAAGTCACTTATGGCGGCAGCGAAAGAGGAATCTGCATGTATATAACCCACTGCACACTTATTCAAATATCAGCAGAGGTAAGTGTTACCAGAGTCTTCACGATGCTCGTGGCTGTGAACTTTCTTCAAGATTGATCAACGTAACAACGTGTACTCTTCAAGTGGCTGGGTTACGTTTCTCGCTTTAAGAAATTCAATCTTGGAAACTCCTTTGAGCTTCTTTAAGATGTGATGATACGTTTTTTCTGTGATAATTTTAGCGAGAACATTGAATTATGAATTGCTGTACCTTTGCACTTAATTCAATTATTAGCAGCTTACATTCTTATTCTTTTATGAATTGTGGTTTTCTTTTTGAGTAAATTAAATATTACTTTGTTATATTTTTGCGAATAGTAGCAGGGTTAAGGTGTATGAGCTTCTTAAATATTATTGTTCAATTTTATGAACAGCAAAATTATTCAAAAACAGCCAAATTTGCTTTTTGTGAAATAATGAGAATTCTACTATAATATAGTTATCAGTAAAGTGTTTCATGGTAGAGTAAAGTGAAGATCTGGTAATACATTAGCGAAATCGCTCAGATTATTAAGCATGTATGAAAGGTATTTTTGAAATCAATAAAGAATAAAAGTTCCACAACTACATATTTATTTCTAACATCACGTTGTTTTATTTTACACCCTACGTTTTGAAAAGGCGATTACAAGAATTACATCAGAAGGTAAGTAAGTTACTCTTTATTATGGAATTACATATTAGAATTTAAATCAATAACACAAGAATAGCAATGATATAATACGTAAAGAATATATGGAAGACGTTAGTTTAATGCAAAGTAATTAATTTCAAAATTTAGAAGCATTCGGAAGCCTCTAACATATATTCTAAAATCTATATTCTGGTGCCTCGTCGTTTGAGAATAGTACAGTGAGCCCAATCTACCGGATATCTGTGAAACTACCAAGCAAATAAAACTCGTGTTTTTATAATTTAATTAAGCATTTTGTCATATCAGAGTCTGTCAAACAATCAGTTCATACGT